TACTCTCATTTTGTTTGTCGGCCTGACTTGTGTTGAAATGATATGTGAGGCTTTGTATATCAGATCTCTTCTGGATCACAATCTAATTTATCTTTTTCTAAGATATCCAAGTCACCTTCAATGTTTTGTTACAAGACTTCCACAAATAGAGGATTTGGATAACTGTATGTAACCAACCGTCACAAAGCATTGCACAGCTTTGAAATCTAAAAGGAGTGTGTTGTATCTTAATTCATGCCTGATTGGTAACAGCAGATTCTCCCACCTGAGCGGTTGGTCTCTGTTGCTCCTCTAGAACTGTCACAGACCTCTTGGTTGACAGTGGCGTCAGGTTCAGGGGTTTGCCCTGCAATCGGAGGGTTGTTGGTTTGAGCCCCAGTTCTGGCTTTGTGTCTTTTGGCAAGACACTTCACCTGCATTGCCTACTGATCAGAGGGCTATGGCGCCAGTGTACGGCAGCCTCGCTTCTTTCAGTGAAACCTAGGGCAGCTTTGGCTACAATGTAGTTTGCCATCAGTGTGTATGAATGTGTGAATGTAGTATAAAGTGGTTTGGTCAAGTTTCCTGACTTGAAAAAGCGCTATATAAGTGCAGGCCATTTTATTGGATTAGTGTAATTCTCTTTATTTCAGAATCAGCCTCACAAGCTGGTCTGCAGCTGTTCCAAAAGGCTGCAACACATCGTTTAACGGGAACACATCCTGTTTTCTCTTCTTTCTTGCTTCCAGTGGCTTAGAGTTCATTTTAAAACCTGGCAACCTTACTGGCCGGAGCTTCTCCACTGCTACACCTGCAATCAGTCACTCAGGTCCAGTTGCTCCTGGTTGTTCTCAGCTCAAAATGGAAGCTTAGAGAAGAAGGGCCCTTCCCCAGTGGGGCCCCTAAGTTACTTCAACCTCTAACCTTTCACATTTGACAAGCTTTACTGACCACTTTTAAAAATTGTTTAGAAATATACTTGTATTGATTTTTCCTCATCCGTACTAGCATTTCTATTTTTATTTTTATTTTTGCATTTTGAAATATGTTTTGAAGCAAGATTTTCTGATTTATTATTGTGTGCTTTTGATCTTCTGCACTTCGTTTCTGTAGGCTTGAGTTAAA